AGTGGAGGGGGGCGGGAATGAGGAAGAGGATCCTGAGGACAGGAAAAAGGAAAAGAACCATGCTACACCCGTGGCACCCGTCCTTTTTTCCCGCCCCTCATCTCTATTGGAAAGAAAAAGAAAAAGAAAAAAACAAGACCAGCAGAGGTATGCCCCTCCTCCTCCCATTCCTCCTCCTACTCTTCCCCTCCTCCTCACTTTCCTCCTACTCGTCTTTCTCCCTCTCCTACTCCTCCCGTCCCTCCTCCTCCTACCCATAGTCTTCCCCCTCCTCGTCTCGGTCCTCCTCCTCCTCCTCCTTCTCCTCCTCCTCCTCCTCCTCCTCCTTCCACTCCTCCCGTTCATCGTCCGCGTTCTCCTCCTACCCATAGTCTTCCCCCTCCTCATCTCGGTCCTCCTCCTCCTCCTCCTCCTCCTCCTCCTTCCACTCCTCCTGTTCGTCGTCCGCGTTATCCCACTCATCGTCGCCCCCCCCCTTCCTTGCACTGCTTGCAGTCCTCTGCGCGGTTCGTCGTCCTTCCCCTCCTCCTCCCCTCATCCACCCGCCCCTCTTCATAGCGCTCGTCCTCCCCCTCCTCCTCCCCTCATCCACCCACCCCTCCTCATAGCGCTCGTCCTCCTGCCACTCTTCCTTCAGAATCTGTTCATCGTTCACCTCCTACCACTCGCCGCCATCCCCCCTCCTCCTTGCACTCCTCGTGCTACCTGTTCTCCTCCTGTTAGTCGTCGTCCTCGTCCTCCTCCTCCGTCATCCCTCCGCTCTTACTCCTTCTCGTCCTCCCATACAAAATGGAATGAATCTTCCACTTAAACATGGGGAGGTACATGGCCATGTTTTGTCGTCTTTCCTGGCATTCCTGCATCATGATGCCCCAAGAAAAGTTGATGCAAAAAAAAATTCCTTTGTTTTTTTTTTTGCGTATTTCTCCTTTTTACCGTCTTCGTTTTTCATTTTTTAAAATACCCCACACAAACTTATCGATTTCGGGGGGGGTAAAATGGAGTTGTAGGGTTTGAGAAAGCCTCCAACCTCTCAAAAAAAAAAAAAAAAAATATTATTATTTTTTATTTTTTATTTTTTTCGTGCCGGGATAAATCTCCGAAGCCCCGCTTTGGGATTCCAGGATTGACCCATGGTCATGACCGCAGATGAGACATAGCCGCAAAGCACAAGACAACACTGCCAATGCAGTCAAACCACATGCCGCACACGGTACACAACTTAACACAAGCCAACTGCATTGCATGGAAAGACAAGGCACACTGATCACTGATGGGCAGCAAGGCAACACCCAGCAAAGGCACACTGATCACTGATGGGTCCCCAGCAAAGCACATGGCAAGGCAAGAACAACAATGCAACGAATTTACTCGGAAACACAGTGTCACCAGTTGCAAAGAATGACATGGGACATCGGGAGCAAGCGGGATGGGCAGCAAGGCAGTAGTCCACTCCCTCAACGCAGACCAAAGCCATCCGTGAACTACTCGCACCCCAAGTAGAACACCGCACACTGTTGGTTCCCACCTGCTGAGCAAGGAAGCCAACTCCGATGGATGTCTATCATCACCCATATAGACCATTTGCATTCACTGACATCACAAACAGATGGGCCCGGACACTCTCTGTGTGTGTGTGTGTGTGTGTGTGTGTGTGTGTGTGTGTGTGTGTTTTAGATTTTCCCCACAACAGCCCCAATTCCACCCAGGTTACTAGATTCAGAATCAAAGCAGTCTTTGTCCTATTGCAGACAACGAGAGCAATTGAGATGTCCAACATATTAAGGCAATTTTATAATTATGTGTGTGTGTGTGTGTGTGTGTGTGTGTGTGTGTGTGTGTGTGTGTGTGAGGGGAGGGTCACCGTGGTGGAAAAGGTATAGGAGGTGGAGTTCTATGGGAGTGTGGGGTAGGGGGAACTGGAGTGCAAAGGCAGGATAGAGTATGACATGCCAAGGCCAGGGGAGAGATCTATGACAAGCTTAGTGTGTGGCACTGTGTGTGTGTGTGTGTGTGTGTAACCCACCCCTAACCCTCTATGGGGAAGTCAGGATAGAGTCCGATACACTAGTGTCCAGAGGCACAATGCCATTACCCCTATGCCCCTTCTACGCCACACACAGCACAGACAGAGACATACAAATTGATACAATGTTCTACGACGAGGAACCAGACAGTGGCAGACACCCTTAAGTTTAATATAGTATAGGCAACATATACTGTGTGTGGGGACTCAGAGACACTTCGGAGTACCGGGAACATATTCCATGATCAGATATTGAAAGGGTTTAATCGGAGTCAAACTCAACACAGCTTACTGTGCAGTGCACATCACTGATCACTTTACTCGACAGTTACCTCAAGAAATAGACAAACACTCTGCTGGTTTCACCGCTTTGCTCAAGACGACAAAGCACTCTGCCACACAAGAGCGCTATCTGCCACCTGTCTCTTATACACATCTAGATGTGTATAAGAGACAGGGTCTGAAATGTGGCTTTGTGCTGATCCTCAGGCC